CTTTTTTCAAATTGTCGAAATCACACTAGATTCATAGCATCAACTAACTTGTATTGACTGTTTCATCGCATTTACTTCATGAATTTTCTTACCGTTTGTCTAAAAACGTTCAAGAACAGTTTACGGAAGGCAACAGTTCAAAATTGAAATGATTTTAATGACTCAAAACGGTAAATTTCTCAGACAACATCGCTAATATTTCTTTCGTTTTGAAGACGAAATTAAAACAGAAAGTTTTGTGACCATACTAAAGTAAGAGTAATTCCGGATTCATTTCCGGGATTCGTTCTGTATTTCAAATTGATAGGAAATCACCGGGTTTTTAATGTATTACCTTTAAAAGTGTTTTAATATAACAGATAATAGTTGCACTTGTTTAATTATGCATGAAATCATTTTGCATTTTACGATTAAGTGCCTTATCTGGTGAAGACAATTTCACGCATGCATATTACATGGTAAACAAAGCACATGTTTAACTCGTGAAAAATTACTTTTTTCTAGTGAATCAAATGAAGTTTTAATTTTTAAATCAGAATTGACGATTGTCTTTGCTGAAAAATAATTAAATAATGAAGAGAGTTGTCATAGGATTTTAATTTCTTTATAACATTAGTTCTGAGTTTGTGATCACTGTCAGGTGTGAATTAAAAACACAGGTAAAAGTGATTAGCAATCATTAGCCAATATTTCCCTGAGGCAGTAATATAGCTATTAGGAAGGCCCTCAGGATTATCATACTAGACTGGAGTGGTGTCTTCCCGATTGTCCCACTTTTTGAAATTACAGGTAAAAAAGTAATGAAATTTTGAGGGACAATCGGGAAGATGTTTGTGGGACAATTGGGAAGTTTAAATGTGGGACAATTGGGAATTGTTTTGATAGTAATTAAATTGTTTTTATAGTGTGTAGCAGGTAATTGAAGGTAACTAACCAATGTAACTTATAAAATAAGAAATAAACATGAACAAATAATAATATTAACATATTTCTTTTTTGCATATATTAGCAACAAAGTATCATCAAACACAGACTATAATATATATTTAGTCATAATATAGCACATATCAAGCACTTCTCGATTCTACATTGATATATAATAAAAAGAGTTTCACTTAAGCACACATAATAAACAGCTAAATACAATAAAGTACACGCAAAAAACAAATTAATTCATTAAAGCACACACATGACACATGACACAAAGAGCAGATACTATTAAGCACGCACAATGCATAAGGTCCAACAATAAAGCACACATGATTCATAACTTAAACATCAAAACACATCATATAATTGCAACAAACTTAGTCAAAATGTAACAAATAAGTCAGAAGCAATGTCGGCATACTGGAGTGGCAGCTGTATTACAGGAGAGGGATTAAAAAACAAGAACAAGTCCAAAATGGTGCTTAAGAAAAAAGATCTCAATGAAATGACCGAAATTATTTCTGTAAAAAAATTAAATTTGTCCTAAATCCAAATCTGCGGTTTAGGACAAAAAGCTTTCAGTTTCGGACATGACTTGCAAAACATGACTGTTTCCAGACCCTTGGGCTGGGACCTTTTGCACAACAGCATTCATATTTACTTCAATAGCTACTTATCATGTCCAGTTGACCATACTAAATGGCCCTTTTCAAATGACGATTTTTGCAGAAATAAATGGAATTTTTATGCCCCACCATAGTGGAGGGGGCATTAAGTTTTACCCTTGTCCGTCTGTACGTACGTCCGTACGTCCCAAAATTGGTTTCCTTTCTCTTACTTTAGTTTGCCTCAACCAAATGTTATGAAACTTATACACAATGCTTATTACCACAAAACACAGATCAAGTTTGAATTTTGGTGGCGTCACTTTTACCGTTCTAGAGTTATGCCCCTTTACAAATGGAAAAATTGCTGAAATATTCGTTTCTGTTCTCTAACTTTAGTTTGCCTCAACCAAATGTTATGATACTTATGCACAATGCTTATTACCACAAAACACAGATCAAGTTTGAATTTTATTGGCGTAATTTTACCGTTCTAGAGTTATGCCCCTTTACAAATGGAAAAATTGCTGAAATATTTGTTTCTGTTCTCTAACTTTAGTTTGCCTCAACCAAATGTTATGATACTTATGCTTTATTTAACTATTACTGCATGCAAGCCTGATTGTTTTATGATTACTTAAATTCAGCATTAATTAGTCCCCTACCAACGAAGTCGTAGGGGACTAGGTTTGCACTCCGTCTGTCTGTCTGTCTGTCTGTCCATCAGTCAGTCTGGCAAATCAGTTTTCCGCATTTTTTTTCTTCTTGCTTGAAGATATTGATTTGATATTTGGTGTATTGTTTTATCATGACAAGTTACAGATCAAGTTCCAATTTTGTTCCGCTCTGATAATTTTGTGCAGAGATATGGTCCTTGGACTTAGAAAATTCACTTAAATAATCAGTTTTCCACACTTTTTTTCGTCATACTTGAAGATATTGACTTGATATTTGTTATGTAGTTTACACCATGACAAGTTGTAGATCAAGTTAGCATTTTGTTCCAGTACAATGAATTTTTAACCGGTAGGGGACTATGTATTGTCATGCAATACTCTCAGAATGCTTGTTGTATTCGGAATGCTCAAAATAAGTAAAAGTTATTTTCAGGGAACAATAAGCTTCTAACTTGTCTGATCAGGCTAGTAAACTTTTATAATAACTTGGAAAAAATAACATTTATTCCTGAAAATATTGACACTAACAATAGCAGAATTAATAATATTGGCTTGTCAGAATGTACTGTTTGGTTGTAGACATGTATTTTGATCGACCAATCAGATGAGACCTAGCTATTTTGGAAAACTGTTAAGGAATCTTAGATTATGATAATATCATCAATATTCAAAGCCGAGTTGAATGTGAAATAAGGTAAATAAATAGATTACATAAGTATTCTTGATCAAAATCTCTTTCAAAAATATATTTGAGAAGTTTGATTTTGGGTTAAAAAATTGTCATGTTCATATTTAGTATTATATATGGAATAAATGGGTTAAAAAAAACCACATCAGTATAAACAAGTGGGGAAAACTTTTTCAGCTAAACTTTCAATTAAACATCTGCCTTTCAAATTTGGATTGCTTTCAGGTTTGTTTCTCTGGAATTTTGAAATTTAGATTTTTTTTTATGGCACAGCTGTTTTATAGCTTTGAATAAATAATATCAAACTTGTAATCTAACATTATAAAAAAAATATTTCTGTTTTGTTCTCTCCATTGGTCAATATTACTTTTTAGCAAAGGGAATAACTCATTTCAAATTATGGTTAAAAAAGAAAAACATTTTCTAAAAGGGAAAGTGCTATGGATGTATTTTAATCAGAGTACCATGATTTGATTTGGTTAATCAGTGATTCATATAATATACTGAACTGTAAAATTTGTTATTATATAGTCAGTTTCATATGAAATAAAATACCTGCTCAGTCTATACAAACCGGATATCATCAGAGCGGAAAAATGTCCCACAACACAAGTTAGATACAATAGACTGAAAACTTTTCTTGTTCATCGGATCACGTTTCACATAGATTTTTATGATTTTTAAAAACCTGCAAATAATGTATTATGTATTAAACATCTAACAAAGAACTGGTAAAGTAAAGATATGAGTCAACTTTACCACTTTTAATTTGTCAAAGCCATATATCATTTGGATGTTTTGATAGATATGTTTTTAAGGATATGTATATGAAGCTGATTTTGGAAATTGACTTCAAATGCTTAATTCATCAAGTTTATTTGAATTTATTACCATAAAGGTATTACTTCAGTGGAAATACAAACATGTAAGGTTATTACTCAATTAGGCATTTTTTTAACACTGAAGGATCATTTGAACTTTGATATGTACATTTCAAAATCATTAATTTTTGTAAATGGACAATTCAACTACTTCATGTAGTCCCAAGCAAAATTTGTGAATTGATAAGAAACTCTAGATTCACTATATCAGAACATCAGAGGGTAATATCTTCTGTGACATCAGAGGGTAACAGTACATTCAGTGATTTCAGAGAGTAATAACACCTTCAATGATTTCAGAGGGTAATATTTTCAATGACATCAGAGGGTAATAATACCTTCAGTAATTTCAAACAGTAATGCTTTTGATGACATCAGATGGTAATACTTTAGTTGACACCAGAGGGTAATAATACCTTCAGTGACTTCAGAGAGAAATACTTTCGATGAAATCCGATGGTAATACTTTTAATTACATCAGAGGGTGATAATACGATAATACATTCAGTGATTTCAGAGAGTAATACTATTGATGAGATCAGACGGTAATACTTTAGTGGATATCAGAGGTAATAATACCTTCAGTGATTTCAGAGGGAAATACTTTCGATGACACCAGACGATAATACTTTAGTTGACATCAGAGGTAATAATACCTTCAGTGATTTCAGAGAGTAATACTTTCGATGACACCAGACGATAATACTTTAGTTGACATCAGAGGTAATAATACCTTCAGTGATTTCAGAGGGTAATACTTTCAATGACACCAAACGATAATACTTTAGTTGACATCAGAGGTAATAATACCTTCAGTGATTTCAGAGGGTAATTAATATCTTCGGTCAGTAGCAGTACTTATCCAACTCTTGTACCTGAAGAAGAAAAAAAAATTGAAAGGTGTAATCCTGTTCCTTTTAAAATATCTGTTTGAATTAAACAAATAGTAATGGACCAGAAAGAGGCTAAATAATTTGTGATAAATAAAACAGAATTTCATATAAAATTGGTATATTGTCTTTAATGGTAACATTGGTTAGCTTGGTTCTGGCATACACAGATTGTTGTATCTTTACAGTCTTCTTCTCGAGTTTTGCTTTACTTTTAGAACATATTACTTATGAGGAGGTACCAACCAATTAACAATGAATGAAAAGACATCAGTTTTCATTTTTAATTGTTCCGTTGAAAATTACATTATTTTATTATTCTTTTTCAGATGAAAAGAAACACTTGAGAAGTTCCATGATGATTTTAAGCTGGGATTTTGTTCCTTGATACATTATAATGTAAATGGTAAGATCTTAATATAGTAACGGAAGCTGGTTGATGTTTTAGTTTGATAAATGAATACATATATGGATAAGGAAACTACACATTTTAAAAGTAAAATTTTAATAGGCAAATTTCGAGGACATTAGTATGACTCAATTTTGTTCTGGTTGATGCAAAACAAGTTGGGTCAGCAATTTAAAATTTTGAGCTGATATGACCGGTGCATTACATTTGCGCGCATTACCATTGCATTTGCTCGCAAAAATCTTTACTTTTGCGCTCAGCTTTTGATTACATTTGTGCACATTCTTTTACATGTAAATATAGGTAGATTATACATACATGTATTTATTTATTTAACTATTATTTTTGAGCAGGATAAGTCCGTTTTATTATGCACAAGCACTTAATCCTGGAAATATATACAGATAAAAATGTAAAAACATAGTAAATCAGGATTTCTCATGATCACTGTATATTTTTTTAGAATTCAATGAAAAATATGTAACTATAGTCATATTTATTATGAATTATCTGTATTTTACCTGTATTACCTGTAAAATGAATGCGAGCAAATGTAATCAAAAGCTGCAGGCAAACATAAAAAAATTAATCCCCAAATGCGCGCAAATGTAATGCGCCCATTATGACACTTAAAATTGCAGATCTAGAGAAGCTTACTTCAGTCAATTACAAACAAACTTGAAATTGGTGTATTATATTTGATAGTGTTATAATTCTTTCTGGTCAGATTGATGGATTTAAGAGGAAAATATTTGAACTAACCCGAAGACATGACTACCTCAATTTTCTCCTGACCATGGAACAGTGTTAACTAATTAAAGATAGAATTGCAGATGTTTTATAATGTGATACAAATGCAGTATTCTGACTTCCAGTAGTAATAATCTGTAATTAGCCTTGTCAAAGAGTATAAATTAATGGTTTTTTTTTTGGTGTATATCAAACAATAAAACAACAACAAAAAAAAACCTTTTAGAACCCACAATTACTATTTTACAATACTTAATAGTCTAAAGATGGATTTTTTTCATTCCATTTACCTTATTCTGACATTTAGCAGTTCTGGAGAAAGATATTCCCAGCAGTAACAATCTACAGTTAGACTTGTTTAGATACACGAGTACATTGTTCTGACTCTTAGCCATCATTGTTTATGCTGTAAGCAAGTAACTTTCAGTATGGCAAATTCAATTTTGGTTTGATCCAAAACAGCACTGAGTCATGCCTTTACAATAGGCAAGGACTGTCACCATTAAATTGCAAATCATGCTGTTTTGACATTAAAAAAGTAATAATTATTATATTGCAATTATTTTGTTGTTTATATAAATTGGACGAAGTAATTGGACCAAATTGATGTTATGGTCGTAGCAATTGGAATAGAACCTAAATGTTGCTTATGAATATGATATAGTGAATTCAAATGAAACAATGACATTCTATTGCATGCAAACCAATTTCATATTTGTTCCAAAGATAAGGGGCAAATAGAGGCAGAATTACCAAAGTCCTGTTGCATATTTTGTACTTATGTTCAGGACTTTTAGTATCACATGATCAGTTGCAGTGTCTGATAAAGGGTTTTGTGAAAAAAATTTAATTAGAATTCACCATCATTACCATTGTATATTTATTTTCCCTAGCTGATCAGACTATTTGTTCTTTCCAGCTTAATTTAATGATTTTTATACCTACATGTATTTAGAATTAAGCCATCAGTTACATGTACTGTACATTTCATATAGTTAATCAAGTGATCAGTTGGTGAAAAAGTTAGATGTTGATCATCTGATAATAAAGATTTATCTAGTAAGTGTGTGCAAATTTTCCCTAGGTAGTCAGTCATTGATACATATTTTCCTTTGTTGGTCAGATCTTAATTAGTTGTCAATTAGTGATTATTTTCCTTATTAACTTATAAGTTAGGATTAAGTTATCATTTGGTAACTGTTTTACTAGACTTGTCCATCTAAGCCTTATTATCATTTTGTGACTATTTTCATGAGCTATAGTTATGATCAATTAAGAAGTTTACCAAATTTTTCAAGTGTTTATTATCATAAATTTTCATTGTATGTGTTTTTAGTCATGATAATTGTCACCTTTAGTTTATCAGGTTTGATGGAGTAAGGTTTCTTTAAGATATGCAGGCAGATGCATCTAGTCAAAAACCTTAGAACTGTTTTAATTTTTGTCTCGACTTGACATAGTCAAAAAGAGAGACATAGGTATGCTGTTTCCGGCGGTGGCATCAACAATGTATTAGTTTGTGATTAGGTCTAGTTCATGGTGAACCACTAGTGTAGGTCAATGATATTTAGTATGTAGTTGTATTAGTATTGGCACATCTCATTACCATGGAGATTATTTGGCCCTGCCTCCTCAGTCAAGGTCTATTGACTTTGAAACTTTGCTTAGTTTACATGTATTAGTTTGTGATTAGGTTAGTTTATGGGGAACCACTAGTGATAGGTCAATGATATTTGGTATGCAGTTGTATAAGCATTGGCATAACTCATTTCCATGGAAATTATTTGGCCCCGCCCCCTCATTCATGGTCTATTGACTTTGCAACTTTTGCTTAGTTTTCATGTATTAGTTTGTGATTAGGTCAGTTTAAGGGGAACCGTTAGTGGTAGGTCAATGATAATTGGTATGCAGTTGTATAAGCATTAGCACATCTCATTTCCATGGAGAATATTTAGTCCTTACCCCTCAGTCATGGTCTATTGACTTTGAAACTTTTGCTTTGTTTACATGTATTAGTTTGTGATTAGGTCAGTTTAAGATGAACCACTAATGTTAAGTCAATGATATTCAGTATGCAAATGTATTGAAATTTGCAAGTTTCATTTTCATGGAGATTATATAACCCCACCCCCTAATTATGGTTCATTGACTTTGAAACTTTTACATAGTTTACAAGTTAATGTTTGTGTTTAGGTTTGTTTAAAGGGAACGACTTATGAAAAGTCAATGGTATTTGGTTTGCAGTTGTATTAGCATTGGCACATCTCATTTCCATGGAGATTGTTTTGCCCTGTACCTTCAGTCATGGTTCATTGACTTTGAATATTTGCATAACTTACATGTTAAAGTATTGCTATTTTAATTTCAACATTTGGATTATCAAAGTAACAAATGGGCGAGACGAATCTCTGTGTTAACAATTTATTAGTTTATAAAGTAATTCCTGAGTTTCTCAATTAAAAAAAAAGAAGAATTTTGAATTCTTTTAGATTAATAAATGTGAATTGAAAAAAAAAATCTATAGATTAATTTGGTCTGGTTGGAAGTCTATTACCCTAAAGCTGAAACCAACATAATTTTTTATTAGTCAATTGTCCATTATACAGCTTTTAAGTACATTTCAAATATCAATAAAATCCTTTTTACATTACTGAAAAAATATCATTTACCAATATATTGACTTAAATTAAAATTTCTCTATGTTTACTGTATTAACTGGTGCCATATTGTATATTTAGTGAGGAATCAATGATTATCTCCCCTTCTCCAATGTCTTGTATTGATATTGACTCAATGATTGTATACATGAAAATGATCAACAGCCAGAGAAAAAGATAGAACATTATCCTCCTATTGATTCTTCTATTAAACAAAAGTCAACGTTCGGCCCACTGCTTCTGTTGATAATACACACGTTAAAAACATGAGACAAAATGTCAATTGACGATTCGGAATTAAACCAATATTGGTTGGGGCAGAGTGAAAGAATTTGACTGGTCATTAAACAGAAGGTAAGATTGTCACTACTCTAATTGACTACCAAATTATTGGAAATCCAAAGCATTAATATGATCTATATGCACTGTGCTGCTTTTCGCCTTTAAAAAAATAATCGTTATTATCACATGTCGTCTGTTTTTCATTATTTTTTTTCTACATTCGGCTATTGTTTATTAATTGAATTGGAAGGGATGCTAAGAATCAGCTGATTATTGGATAAGTTAATGTATTATTTATCATCAATGATAACAAGTATTCTGATCCATAATAATCTGTTAGGTTGTTTCTTCTACTTTATAATTGGTATGAATTGAATAATTTACTTTTAAATCATGAAATTGCCAGTAAAGCAATCTTGTCATAGTTATTCAGATGCTAAATACATAGTAACAGTGATTGAGTTAAACTGTACTTACATCAATGTTAATTGTTGTAATTTGTGTTTTACAGCTTGATTTACCAGATATATTTGTTTCTGTCTTTTTGAAGGGCTTATTTTTTACTTTTGTCATTTATGGGGTTGAAATGTTCTGCATGTGTGATTGAGTTGATGAAAAGTATCATTGGACAATTGTAGCATTAAGTCATTTTGTAAAGAATCATTCTGCGACAGGAAATTACTTTTTACTGCACTGAAAACGTCATTTTATTGAATTGCTGTTAAAGCGTACATTTGAAAGGACATATAAATGGTCTATCTAGGGATTTAATTGCTGTTGTTGAATACAGGATTTGGGGTTAAATCTAAAGTCTGCATGGAAATCAGATGATTAAATCAAACATCAGTATAAACATTTCATTTATTGATTCTATATTAAAATTACATGATCCAAGTCCAATAAACTTGTTACTGCTAAGGTACTATACAGTTATTAAATCATTCCAGTATACAAGTGAGTCTTTTAAGCAATCTTGTACATTATTTCATTCTGTCATTTTTGTGCATTTGTGAAATTGAGCAGTTTGTATTTCAGAAATAATTTATGCCAACCAATTGTTTAATGGACATTTTACCACAGACTTAATTTCGTTCAAATTTTACTTTGAGTGACACACATTTCTGCATACATGTACCCTAATTTAGAATATTCTGTAGTGAACATTAATGAAGAAATTTACATGAATCACGCTAGTTGACAGAAACTGTCACAACAGCAGTTTGGCTTAAATGACTTATAGTTTTTTCCAGGGACTACAGGTTTTCAGCAGATGAGTATTGCTGGCTTCCTTGTTTTGAATCAGTCAGTTTGTCTGCCTCATTTCATGCAATATGGTTAGGGACATTTGAACATTTTGTAAGATTGTAAGCTAGATCTATTTCGATAATTTTTTGGAGAATTTTACCCTATGTATGATTACAATGATTTGAATAATTGTGACTCAGAATTCACATTATGGTCTTCAGATAGACTAGTTCAAAAATGTCATTTCTTATTACCGTAAGTATTTTCATGATAAGCTTGGCGTTTACCATACAAATAAACAAGTCAGGACCTAAAAAAAATTGAATGTTACAATTGACATGTACGAAACATGGGTTCACAATGACAGTATGTCAGGACCTAAAAAAAATTGAACATTACATGTACGAAACATGGGTTCACAATGACAGTATATCAGGACCTAAAAAAAATGAACGTTACATGTATGAAAAATGGGTTCACAATGACAGTATGCCAGGACCTAAAAAAAATAGAACGTTACATGTATGAAACGGGTCTACAATGACAGTATGCCTGTCTTGAAAAATCAGGCTATTGATATTTTCATAAGCTACTTTTTGTTGCCTTCATTTTCTCACTTGTCTGAGTTGTATTATGATATACTTGTGTTTATCTGTCTGACTTTACTTTGACCAATCCTTTTTTCACTCTTAAGTCAATTTCAAAGAAGGGTTATAAGAATCCATTAGCTTTCATAAAGACATCTCCCTTTCCATTTTAGCAATTTCACTTTGCCTTTAGCATGTTTAGGTAGTTACAAGACAATGTGAATTTAAAAATGTACATTTATGTAACATATCTGAAACAAGTTTGCTTAGGCCAAACCTTATGAAATGTTAACCAAATGTTAGATTGTATAAAGACAATTTCCTTAATGATTTTGTTATTTTGCATCTTAATACCAAGTTATAAGAAGACATTTTTTTTCTCACTAGAGTTCAAAAGTCTTTCGTCTAAAAATGAATAAACTTGTAAGTTCAGAGTTTGATGTAAACAAGTTCCTTCAGTCTGCTGTTTAAAGATTTTTAAAGTTTTTGACTTTCAGGTTACAGAGTAACTATAGGTTGCACTTTGTAAATACAGCTGTTTCACAAGCCACGCCTCTTTTTAGGAGATATATAATATTCATAGATATGTTAATTTGTTAACGTACTGGTTCACAGATATGATCTCTGTGTTTCTGGAATGTTACCAGTATAGAAAAACATGGTAGCGCCTAAAATTTAATTCTTAGGAGGTCCAAAAGTGGAGGTTGGGGTAGTATCAATTTTAGTATAAGCTTAAACTCTTAGAAGTTGAGGGCATATAAATGTTGAAAATATGCCGCACAGCCCTATATTTTGACCTTTGAATAAAATAGTAGTGCCTTTCAACTTTCCGTTCTGGGATAAAAAAATTTCACGAAACTTCATAGTAAAAGTGGCACAGTTTTAGCCGCAAAGGGAATTCCTATGGAAAATTGCATTGTCTATATTTACAGAATTGCAACCTATAAGGATTAGATAATGTTTTTCTAATAGAGGTTATTGAAGAAATAATTCATGCAAGCCATATGTTTGACATTTTTAGCTTTATCTTACAAAAGGGGGGGGGGGGGGGTAAATAGAAGAGCCATGCACAAGGCACACTTATCATTGATTCATGTTATTTATACTATTAGAATAAAAAATAATTCATGCAAGCCATAGATTTGTTGTCATTTTCACGTGACCTAAGTCCTAGCTAGGCAGTGTGAAAATTTGCAACAAATCCATGGCTTGCATGAACTGTTATTTAATTGTTGTATGTTTAAAGACCATGTTGACCTCTAGATGTTTTTATATATATTGGTATTGGGTTGCTGTCTTATTGACTTATAAACAAAATCTCTGTTTCTTCCTTTTTAGTACAAACTTTTCCCCGTAGTTTTATATTATTGTATCATCTTTTTTTTTCAGGTAACCAATATCAAAAGAAAATGATTTGTTGAATTTGACTTCCAGTATAAAATGGTATGCATTCTTAATACAGAAGACACATAAGATACAAGTAATTGTTAATGTTTTTTTTGAGTTATTTACCTTATTTTCAAAAAAGAAAAAAAGAAAATATACAAAATGTTAGTTGGCTATAAAACTATCTGTTGGTGAAGTGCAGATGAAGCCTCAGATCAAACCATCTTGTTGTACCTTGATACATTAAATATTCATGTGTGACCTCCTCAATGGTTGCCTCATGTCACATGTCTATCCAAAATGTCTCCTCATTGGTTGCTGTATGTCACATGTCTGTCTCAAGTAAGGAACTTCCTCATTGGTTGCTGTATGTCACATGTCTGTTCCAAGTAAGGAATTTCCCCCTAAGGTTGTCTTATGTCACATGTCTGTTCCAAGTCAGGAACCTCCTCAGTGGTTGCCTTAAATCACATGCCTGTCCCAAATCAGGAACTTCCTCAGTGGTTGCCTTATGTCATATGCCTGTCCTAAGTCATGAAACTCATCAGTGGTTACCTTATGTCACATGTCTGTCCAAAGTCAGGAACCTCCTCAGTGGTTGCCTTATGTCACATGCCCTACTCAAGTTAGGAACCTCCTCAGTGGTTGCCTTATGTCACATGCCTGTCCCAAGTCAGAAACCTCCTCAGTGGTTACCTTATGTCACATGTCTGTCCCAAATCATGATCCTCCTCAGTGTTTACCTTATGTCACATGTCTGTCCCAAGTCAGGAACCTCCTCAGTGGATGCATTATGTCACATGCCTGACCCAAGTCATGAACCTCCTCAGGGGGTGCCTTATGTCACATGTCTGTCCCAATTCAGGAACCTCCTCAGTGGTTGCCTTATGTCACATGCGTGTCCCAAGTCATGACCCTCCTTAGTGGTTGCCTTATGTCACATGCGTGTCCCAAGTCATGAACCTCCTCAGTGGTTACCTTGTGTCATATGTCTGTCCCATGTCAGGAAGAACCTCCTCAGTGGTTACCTTATGTCACATGCCTGTCCCAAGTCAGGAACCTCCTCAGGGGTTGCCTTATGTCACATGCCTGTCCCAAGTCAGGAACCTCCTCAGTGGTTACTTTATGTCACATGCCTGTCCAAAGTTAGGAACCTCCTCAGTGGTTACCTTATGTCACATGTCTGTCCCAAATCAGGAACCTCCTCAGTGGTTGATGTATGTCGCATGCCCTACCCAAGTCAGAAACCTCAGTGGTTACCTTATGTCACATGCCTGTCCCAAAGTCAGGCACCTCCTCAGTGGTTGCCTTAATAATGTCACATGTCTGTCCCAAGTCAGGAACTTCCTCATTGGTTGCTGTATGTCACATGTCTGTACCTAGTCAGGAACTTCCTCATTGGTTGCTGTATGTATCATGTCTGTCCTAAGTAGGAACCTTTGCTGTGGTTGTCTTATTTCATATGTCAATCCCAAGTCAGGAACCTTTGCAGGGGTTGTTGTATGTCACATGTCTGTCCCAAGTCATGAACCTCCTCAGTGGTTGCCTTAATATGCCACATGTCTGTACCTAGTCGTCAGAAACCTCCCCTATGGTTGCTGTATGTCACATGTATGTTTCAAGTCAGGAACCTCATTGGTTGCTGTATTTTACATGTCTGTCCCAAGTAGGAACCTTCGCTGTGGTTGTCTTATGTCACATGCTTGTCCTAAGTCATGAACCTCCTCAGTGCTTGCCTTATGTCACATGTATGTCCAAGTCAGGAACCTCCTCAGTGGTTGCTGTATGTCACATGTATGTCCAAGTCAGGAACCTCCTCAGTGATTGCCATATGTCATATGAATGTCCAAAATCAGGAACCTTCGCAGAAGTTGTCTTATGTCATATCTTTATTTTTTGTCATGTCATATCTTTATTTTTTGTCTTATGTTATATAGCACTACTGGTTATATTATATATATATGTGGTCCATACTGGAATTTTGAAACAAGAATCATATCTTTATGGGTTTTTTTTGTTATTTTGTTATTTGGATATTTTGGTGTTAATGGCAGATCTTTTATAGTTTCTGTAATATATTCACAACCTTTTAGAATCTGTACAATATATATAGCTTGAATTTTGACACCAGTTTATTGCTGAAAACTTACATTGACCAATAGATATGTTAAGGATATTGTAAACCAACTTATTTTCACAAGTAGAAATATAATGTGACTATATATAAATAGTTACGTTTATGTAACACTTGGATCTTCTCCTTTCATAAATACATCAAGAAATTTAGAAAATTGCAAAATTAAATCACTACAAAGTCGACTAAAATGGCCTAAACATGAAATATAGTATCCAAGAAAATAATTTTTTTAACATTATTTTTCGTCATGTTGCTGTGTATTTGACATTCACCCCACATCCATTTTATGCATATTGTCTAAATAGCAAACCTGTATCAGATTCTGTATACATGTATATACTCTAAGCTGACCGAATTACACTGTTACTGACCATCATTACTGAATTACATTGTATCTGACCATCCTTATTTGTTAGAATTGATAATATTGGATTGAGATACATTTGAATTATGTTTGTAACAATGCATTGATAATTGCAAGTAATATAATGATTATTGCATTTTATTATACAATGAACATATATATACATTTTTATGACAAATTGGGTCATCAAGGCAACAGCTGAATTCTGTATTGAGGAAAAATGATTTGATTCATTGCTCGTAAATTAACCAGTAGAAAACCCTTCTACATGGATTAGATTACAAATATGTTTTACCTTGTAAGTAAATTTTGTGATTATTTAATGAACTATCATGAACTCTTTAGATGGTTATTAAATTATTGTTACTCACAAATGCATATTGATAAATTTTTACCTATGAAAAGAACTTTTGAATCTTTTCAAAAGTCAGATGTTTAAAAGTCATTTAAATAATCATTAAATTGATCCCATAAATTTTTAACTTTTTTAAATTATTGCTGATGAAATAAACAGAATCAAAATAAAATTTATGAATTGTTAGGCACATCAGTATGCAACAAATTAAATGCAGTTCATATGCTAATGTAACCTACTACGCATTTTGATTTACATGTAAAATAATAATAAGATTAATGAACATAGACTGATCTTTTTGTATGCTGTCTGTCCTATGATCTATTGAAGGTCGCTTTTCATTAATATTTTGTTCAAGTATCAAGCAGGTACCAAAAGTTGCACTTTACCCTCAGTTTTTGATTGGTCATAAATATCAACAGCAACCCAACGGCAAAAAAAAACCCCAAAAGACATCTTAAGTCTAACATACAGTCGTCAACAATAAAAAGATGTCTATATAATATGTCAATCTCTAAATCGCTCCAAGTAATAAAAAAAGATGTGATTAAGTTTCATTTTTTATTTTCAATATGTGTCGTTTGTTGTATTTGATGCTAGAAACGATGTCACCACAAATCTTAAAGAGTGTTATTTAGTGCAGGCAAGATGTTATCTTCATATGGATCCTTTAAATATAATGCATTAATTTAAATATAAACTGTCTGTAGAGAAAGTGGGACACCCATTAGAAGTATTTTTCCATATTTTATCAAATATCTGGGCCTTATTTGTACCACCATTTTTATATTTTCAGCCAAAGTATTTGTTTTTCTTCACTGTTTAAACTACAAATTTGTTTTAATTTTGATTTAAACAAAATAAAGTAGAAAGAGAATATGATAGGAGACATTTGTGATATAATTTGACAACCTAAACTATTTGAATAAAGCATTTTCTCTAATTTTTAGCCAATTTATACTTTCCCCTACCAGTATTGTTTTATAATCAATGTGTGTATCGTTTGACTTATTTCTTCATTGGTCAAAGTTCAATTATGACATCAAATTATCTTGCTTTCCTCTGAATTTGCTATTATGGCATCACAGAAAAAAAGGTGACATAGAAAAAACAAAATCTTTTTGCAGATCATTGAAAATGAAATATAAAGTTTACCTTAGTACGTTGTTTTTAAAATCATTGGTAAAACAGATTCAACCACGGAATCTGATGTTATATAAATAATACATAGTTGAGAGGGTGATAGAGCAGATTGTTACCCCGAGAAAACATTGTCAACTGAGGCAAAGCCAATGTTGACAATGTCTTTTCGAGGGGTAACAATCTGCTCTATCACCCTCTTTGTTATGTGTTATTTAATTTATTATACTGAATGTTCTGTTATTACTGTCTATTAAATTTCAAATTCAAAGTAATAAACTATGTCGTCATGTACATAACAATCATCCGTATTTATTAAAGTGCTTGAGCAAGCGTCTCCGTGAAGGGTAATAGAGTATTTGCCTTGGGATAGAGTAAATTGTCTCCCTCATATTAACCAATCAAAATCTGGCATTTTGACATGAAGTATAATAAAATACAATATTTCTCCATTCTTGATAGCTAAAATTTAAATATTTACTCTGGCGAAAAACTATCTTATCTCACTCTATGCAGTGATAGAATGCATATATAATTCAGAAGACAAAAGAGCATAATAATCCACAACTTATATACAAAGCCTTATAGTATGAAGTGTATGTCCATTTTCCTTTACCCTATCTTCATGATTCAGTAACTTGATTAAAAAAGAAAATTTTAACACATGATTTTTTCTCAGTTATTGAGTATATGGGATACTTTAATAATCATTGCAAACTATATGCCCTTCTGGAAGGGATCAACATTTTCATGATTAGGGTAGGTCATTTTCCTTAATACTATCAGTATTATTAATTAAGTAATATTGTTTAAAAGTTTTCTAGGTAATTGCCATTGTACTTTCAGTAAAATAGATATAGAAGAACTATATTTATACCTAAAATGTTTCACCAATTTAATTTGACTAACCATCCCTCGGCTAATTCAATAGACTTATATATTGTAGAGTATATATGACTATTTACATGGGACAAATTGATTTCTGGGGTTTAGATACATTAGTTGAACATATTGAAATGAGGCAGAAACTTACAATGTAAGAAGTGTGTATTACTTGCAACATCTGATCATAATGTCTTTAAGTTAACTAAGTTCAGAATATGTACTGGTAAATGAAATGAGGAAATAAGTGTGGATTGAATGACGAGTCTCTTTGAATTAAGTATGGCGTGATGTAACAATCATGCAATGATTGATACTTAGAGGTCAACAGATTATGACCAAATTTTGTATGTTAACTTGCCTTCAATTAAGATTCATGAAAAAATATTACTTGTTCCCTGAAATAGAGAAGGTAATAGTATGAACTGTCTGTGTTCCTGTGCTACAGGCTGGGGATATTTAAAAAAAAAACTTGATGATTACAGAATGGTTCAGCCAAGAACTGTTCATTTGTAATAACACATACACTTGTTTCTACCTTTGTCAATCATAAATATACATATCCATACTGCAATATAAACCCTGTCATAATATCCTACCATTTCAATGAGTTTTGATCTCTTCATCTTTGATGAGAAATTGAAAATAACTTTAATAAAAAGAACTGCTTACCCGGTACTCTTCCAGAACACCTTAGTTAACCCCTCGTATTAATTGGGGTAAGTGTTGCCAAATCTTAAGTTTTCTATGCAGTGTTTTGTGGACTTGTTAGTCTCTTTGTTGTTTTTTTTTCGTTTTTTGGCATGGAGTTGTCAAGTTTTTTTCGACCTTATGCATTTTGAATTCCACCACTTTCTTGTCCCAAATATTTACACATTTTTTTTTTTTTTTTTTTTTTACCATAGTAAATTGTATTTTGTGTATACAGTAAGAACATATTTTGTTAACAAATCAACAGTAGGTGTTAAATGCATGACATTAATATCACAGCAGACCGAGGAAAAGTTCACACGATTTTGGATATTTTATTGATGATCATAATATTTTCTCTTTTCAGATGAATTTGTATAATAATTTATGTAGAATTAGACATTGATAAAAGGATTGTGACATCATGCTTCCTGAATCAGAGAAAATGAACGGTTCTACTGTCAAGACAGAACCATCTACTGAAATAAAGGAAGAAATAAAAGAGGAAAATCCCTCAGAACAAAACTTGACGAAAAATCATTCAGGTCCACCCAGTAATAAATTAACAAATGGTGAAACAGGTATATGAATTTATTAATCATTTTAATCAAAATTTTATGGTGAGCCAATTTTGGAAAATTGGTGCATTTAGGAGATGTGATATAATTGCCAATGAGACAGCTATCCACCAGAGACCAAATAAGTCAGTTTGCTGCAAAGCTGCTTAGACATACATTTCTTTGTGATAACATTTTATTGCTAAAATCAACAATCAAAATGAAAGATGAAGTAATCAGTTATGTCTAATATAACCATCAGCATATTGACAAGATTCAAGTATTGCTTTTCAAATTTCTGTGTAAGATTTGTCACTTAGATATATGTATGTGAAGTTTTTTTCTATTGATTTTTCTGCTATTTTGGTCTTTAATGAAGCTTTGTATGATAATGTCAATTCCGTTTACATTTATCAAAACATTTTCCTCTATTCAAAATTGAAAAAAAATCTCATTTTGTGAAAATTTCCTTATTATCACTACATTAGAAAATAAAATGTTATTTTCAAGAAATTATGACTTCCTTTGAGAAATATAGGCTTAAACATCTTACTGGAATATTGATCCAAATATATGTATATATTTACAAAGTTGAAATGACTTCATGCTTCAGAATAAATACAGAAGTAATGAAATTCAAGTAACTAAGGATATGTACATTTTAAATAGTGTTGCTTGTGTTAATTAAAAACATTACTTTAAAAAGAAAAACTGTGTCCTCTAATTTAATTTTAATTTTTGATAACATCAGCATTTTCAAAATCTTAAGAACAACTGGTAATGTAATTGTGTACATACCAAATTGAAGCAGTGTTAAACCATAGGTTGAATATTCAGGAGATACATGTAACTGTATTGTATACTAATCTTAGCACACATAAGACATAGGTTTTACTATTGCAAATTGAGTTTACTTAGTGACACATAGTTGAGCTATGTGAACTATATTTGCGACAGTAAAACCAAATTTATGTAAGCCAAGCTTAAAATACATATCTACATTTCAATGCAAGATGAACAAAAAATACTTTTAAGTCACTACTTGAACTTGTAAACAAAAAATTCTGAGAAGTGTTCACTTCTTTGGCAACTGAAAAGTTTTACCTCATAAGCACACTTTTTTAGACCATGTACACTTCAGAAAGGAAGAATTTGAAAAAAGAAAATTTTTAGGTGAAATGTCTTTTTTTGTTTATAATTGAAGAAATCTCATGTCAATAGATTATGGAACTCAAAATTGCTGCTCTCCTTAGTTACAGACAGGTTGATTGAGAATTTTATCCAATCAGATCCATCAATGCAAAACATTTTGATTAAAATGATTGTTTTAGAAGTTTTAAATCAATTAAAATGGTTTGGTATACTCTTTAAAAAACTAATTTCTGAAATTTGGAATGATATAAATTACGTGATGTAGAAATTGTAATTGTCATTATACTAATCAGTTATATGCTTAGTGTTTGGGTTTCAATCCAGGATTTTAAAAGAAACCTTTTCACAGAAACTATTATTCAGTGTGTCCACAAATCCTGCAGCATTTGAAAATAAGTGAAGTTAGGAGTAAATTTGCTACTTAAGAAACTTCAGTCAGTCAGTAGAAGATACCTAACCAATACTAAGGGTTTATTTTCATTCTTTGGGTACTGATTTTTGTTGAAACTGCGAAATTAATTTCGTGAAAGCGAGCCATAACGATCTAGATTTTTTTTTACATCAATTACTTTGTCAAACCTACAAAGAATTAGATGAAATTTGGACAGAAGCTTGTTTATGACCAAAATACAGTATCCAGAGCAAAATTTTGAAAATATTTATTTCCATTTTTCTGTATTTTACTGGACTTAGTTTTTGTTTTTTACATTCAACAAATAGATACAGTCTGGGGTTAAAGTTTGTTACACATCAAATACTTTGTCATACCTTCATAGAAATTTATGAAACTTTTTTATGATTAAGAGATAACGTCTGAAGCACACTTTTGAAAATTTATTTTCATTTTCAATATTTTTTTGATAGATGGACTTTTTTTACAGTTTACTGACAGTCTGGGATTATATTTTTTTGACATGATAAGTTTGTTAGCCTTCATGTTATGACACTTGTTCAGAAGCTAATCTTCAAGACCAAGAATTATCATCTAAAGAGAAAGTTTGAATGTTTTTTAACATTCTGTATTTTACTGATAAATGGACTCTCTTTTTAAGTCAACATTACACTTTTACACTGACAGCAGCAATCATAGGCAAGACACAGGGTTCCACAGAACCTCTTACAAATTGTTATAGATTTCAGGGGTAAATATGAACCATAAATTTAAATGAAGTACAAATTTTCTTTAAACTTGTATGCAGAATTTGTCAAAAGCATGAACATATTCATTAAGATCACAAAATTAAGTATCCACAAAAATACAATTTTCTCTCAATCCATGTCAAATTTATCCCTACGAAAATAAATGATTTCACAGTTGGTTAACTAGAAGCAATGTAAACCAAAAATCGAGAGTACAACACACAAATGAGACAATTTAAAAAAGATAGCCAGACAGGGGTACATACCAACAAAAACAAGCATATAGATGTACATACCTAAAAAGGGGGATACAGTGAAATTGGGAATGAGACTGCTAACCATCATAGATGATCAAAGGTCATAAAACATCCTTTGTTAGTGAGCATATCATTGGATTGGACAGTAAAGCATTGTTTCCCTTGAAAAATAATTACTGTATGACCTGTAATTGAACTTTGGAACCCCCTGAGATAGAAAGACATGGCTCTACCAAATGAGCTAAAGAAGTACCCTTATGCAGCCCAGCTAGTGCAGGGATATTATAAACTGACTAGATCTAGGAAAGCATTTCTATATAGCTAAAAGAAACTGAATGGGTAATGACCTTAATTTGTATTTTTTTGACATTGAGTTGTGTTAAAATTTAAATAATTTTTGTTTTCAGAAAATAACAACCAGAAAGGAGAAATGAGTGCCAATGTTAAACAGGAAAGTAGTGGGCAAGGTATGATGCTGTGTTTTACATTGGGTGGGTAGTGGAAATGCTTGATTAAATTACCTTAAGGAGTTATTAGTCACTTATGTATAGTTCCTATCCTTGATAAAAACATACAATAGAATGGTGAAAACTGAAAAAAAATGCTCACCTAGTATATCACCAAAAATATCTAAAAAACATGTTACTTTTATAAGATGTATGAACACAGTTTATTACAATGGAATATGTTAAATTTAAAACTCTTTTTGTTTAGTTTAAAATGTTGTAAAAAATGTAATGTAAGTAAGTATCGCATTAATCAAAATTTGCATTTCTTTAGAGCATTATTAATTGGATATAATGAAAAATATGATATAATGATCTAATTAACAACAAAAAAACAAAACAAAACCAAAATGTAATAGGCTCAGAAAACATGAAGATGATATAAAAACATACAAGTTTGCTTTAACTATAAAATACATGCATAAAATGATTTTATCAAATTACAAAAAATAGAGAAATTTTATATATATCCTTGTCTTAGCTGTCATCAGTCAAATTTAATGCACACTTTAACAAAGGTCAGAGTAGGAAATTTACAAGTTACATTTACAAAAAACTAAAAAAATAAATTGATATGTGTTTAATAATAGATATTATACCTGTTTTGAATGTAAAGTAAAAAACTTGACCAGATACAAGAAGTTTGTAATAATATTTTGACAGGACCTGTTACAGATAACAGTTCGTCAAAATTACCAAATGAAAATGTTCCAACTACTCAGAGCATGCAACAACCTCCATCTTCATCACAACAGCCGATTGTATCATCACCGCAAGGAGCATCAGTGTCGTCAACTAGTAAAACTGTCATGTCGAACACTACTTCTATGGCTCACTCTATGTCTAGTGATAGTCATTTCTTACAACAGCAAAGCCAGATATTTGTGTTCTCTACCAGAATGGCTAATGATGCTGCTGAATTAGTGATGGCAGGAAAATACAAAAATATTCTTAACTTTCATACAGATCAACCAGAAACACAGAATTTTTTACAGGTAATCAAGAAAGTGTATTCTGTAAATCTTATATTATATATTGGAATGGGGGCTATATTGCACTCACCTTGTCAGTTTGTCTTTTCGTTCATCTAAAAAATATTTCCGTCATGCTTTTCTCAGGTACTACTGAACAAAATGACTTCATATGTGGTTATCAGCTTGACAGCGATGAGTTGTAATGTGTGAGTGCATTTGGACTCTGTTAGACACCTACTCCCTGTTTCCTGATACTTTGAATTCAGAGTGGGGATATGCTTGGCACAACAATGTTCTTGTTATACCTATATAGTTTTGTGGAATAAACTATTATCATGTAATACCTAAATTAAAAAGTCTTGATCGATTGTTGGTGTTTAACACCACTTTCAGCACTATTGGCCTATCATGGTGGTAAGTTTTTATTGGTGGAGAAAGCAGGAGTGCCCAGAGAGAACCGCCAACACTTGACAATCCTTGTCAATAATGATTGGAGTTAAACATATATGCCGTATGTGGGGTTCAAACTGACAACCTCGGTGTTGACAGGCTAGTGATACAGAAGATGAACTACTAAGACCACCCAGCCACCGAGGCTGATGATCAGTGGTTTATTTCATTAAAAAACCAATGAGAGGGTACTTTATTTGGGGACATTTTTTTTCGTTTTTTTTTTAAAAAGAATTGGTGTTTTTGGTCATATGTTTACCTGATGATTGATTAAAACCTTAATCTACACAGGAGGCAAGCGTGTAAGATAGTGGATATTTTCATAGTTCGGTCAAACCAAGGACATTACATAATTTAAGAATAACTATTTTGTCTATGCACATGTGATAACAGCATTCTGGTGATTTTAAAATAGGGGTGCAATTAAATAATCGAAGCGGACACTTTAACAATTCTGCGTTAATTTTATGTGTAATGATTTTGAGATTCAGTAGTGTTTTGAGTTTTGTTTTTTGTCATTTTTTTTCATTTTTTAAATAACAAATTTTATACTTATCTTAAATCCAAGTTATACAGCAGATTTTATAAGTTAGAACATACATTTGTAATAAAACAGTTGAACAATATATTATCTTACAACAAAAGTGTTTCTTGACAATAGTAAAACTAATTCTAAAATACAATATAAAAGCACTTTTATGACAATGGTTTGTAGAAGAGAAACAGCTTGGTTATAATCTATCTACTAAATTATCACATTATAATATTATATTATAGTTCTGATCTTCATTGATAAGATGTTTATCTATTGATAAATCATTTTATATAAGAAAATTAATAAGAGATGTTCTTCACTATTTTTGAGGGACATAGATAAAGTTTTCCTCCTTCAGGTTATTTTATCTTTAATACTCTACTTCTGTCTGACTGTTGCCTGAAAGCTTTCATACTTTCATGATTGTTTGTCATCATGTGTGTGCTATATTAAACTGAACCACCATTTGGGTTTGACCATTTCAACTGGAGTTATTGAACTTTTGCCAGTATTTGCCTAATTAAACATTGAACAAGTACAATTTGTGAACCTTTGAGACCATCAGCCTCGAAATTTTAATTTAAGGTAGGATTGTTTGACAGGGTGTGTACCGTATTCGGCTGTGTATAATCCATATTATTACATAATCCACACACCCTTATTCGACATTCAAATTCAGGAAAAAAAAATTTGTCTCTTGTTAGAAACCTCCCTTGAAACTCCGGTAATTTCCAAGTCATGTGTGATCGTCTGAAGGATATTCATGGAAAATCTCATTTTCTTTCATCAGGAAGAAGTTGAAAATATTTGTAATGATTCTAAAACACTTCACCAGTGTTTGAGTAGGCCAAAATCACCCCCCAAAAAACTTGAAATGTTGTGTTTGTCATTAACAGGAAATAGGATAAGTATGTGTAAATCACAAACAAATATGAAGACAGTGTGTGCAGAAATTCTTTACTTAATAGATATTACAAAAGAATACCTTTTAGTAAAATCCTGTTTTATTTTTTCATTCCATTAATGTTTGAAGGACCTTAAGCTAAAACAAAACACCTGCAGCAGTATAAAACACCAAATCTGAGCGAATAACCATTTAGGTTTTGTTCTTTATGCATCATTATGCAGTGCTGTGGAAAGAAAGGACAAATTTGTGATGAAGCATTATAGTTTGATATTTATCAGTAAATATTAGATTTTAAATAAAAATTTGACAAAAAGTCATGAATCTACTTGAAAACAGCTGTTAACTAATGGAAGAACTTAGGTAGACAAATATAAATGAGATGACAACATTGATAAATTAATCAAAGGGGCAGGTAGAAATATATTTTAAAGCAGGTAAAGTATGGTTATAGTAAAAGTTTAATAAAAAATCTTTATGCATATTTTCAATATGAAACTTATAAATACTTTGTTTATTTTTCAGAAAAACAATATAAAAATTACACCGATACAAAATAGACCTCAAATGCCACAAAGTATGATGGGAGTGCGTCCAGGAATAGTTAAAACCTTTCGACCTGGTGTGCCAGGTTATCAGCCAAACCCATCACGTGTTGCAGAATGGGTACAAGAACAAGAGTCACATTTACAAGATCAAAACTTTAACATGGGTGGTGGTATGAACCCTAGAATGCCAAATAATAGCATGCGTATGATGCATCCGTGGCCTTCAGGTGGACCTCCTCAAGGATTTCCTGGAAATTATCCTATGTTTCCAGAGGGATTTGAACAAGAAATGATGTTTCATTCTCAAAACACAAATTTATCACACCATAAAGTTCCAGATGAAAATTTGACTCCAGAACAATTAAAGAAACGTGAGGAATCTTTAACTAATTTGCGAAAAATTCAGCAAATGTTATTTCCAGAACAAAGAGGTGGTGGTCATCCTGGGTTTGTACATATGCCTGGGCAAGGCCCTGGTCCAGGAGGAATGATGCCTAATGAAATGATGATGCAGCAAAATATGATGTCACCAGAGGGAATGATGGGAAATCAGCCTGGCATGATGGGACCTGATGGAATGATGTCTGTATCACAAGGTTGTCCAATGCCAGGAGGTCCACCAAATATGATGATGTCACATATGAGAGGCCCAGGTCCACAAGGAATGGGACCTGGTCCACAAAATATGCAGAACTTGTCACCTCCTCAACGTGAATGGTTACGTCTGCAACAGGAATATTATATGGATAAGCGTAGGCATCAACAACAACAAATTGCTCAACGAATGGGACATCCAAATATGGAAATGTCTGGTGGTCAGCAGTGGCAGCCACCGCCACCCTCATATTCTTCTACAATATCTCAGAAACGTCATGGCTCAGTTGGAAGTTTATCTACCTCGCCTAATAACAACGGACCAATTGGATCACCAATTCCAGGATTTGATCCAAATGATCCGCTGGGAGGTGTATTTCCACCACGACAACAAAAGTCACCTTTTACTGGAATGAATCATCCAGAGTTTGGTGGCATGAACATGGCTGGACCAACTGGAGGTCCAGGAAATTTTGAACAATCATTTGGTCCACATGGTGTACCAATGCATCCTGGAATGGTACCTATGATGAGCAGGAAGAATTCTCAGGTGACTATTCAAAGGGCAGGTAACCCCGAACAGTTTATACCAGAAATTAGTACTTCACCAATACCAGGATCTAATAAACCACCACCCAGCTATGCACAATCACAAAAACGAAAACGTGTTGACTTAGAGGAGGAATTGTACAAAAACTTACAACCGACTCCATCTCCTCAACAAATTAATTATAATTTAAATCAGTTTGAAGGACAAGAACTGACTATTACAAAACAATTAAATGCAGCATATCGTGAGCCTATCCCTCCAAACGACCAGTCCCAAAATCATTCATCACAAAATCAGGTTCCGCATTCACCAATGCATGGGCCAGGATCTAATCGAGGACCCATGTCAAACTCAAGTCAGACATCAAGTGGACCTTTATCAAGTCCTGGTCCAATGCCAGGTCAAAATCCTACATTTGGTGCTTCAATGAGGCTATCACATTTTGATCCTTCACCAAATTCAAATATGTCATCGAATAACGGGCCACATATGCCATCGAATGCTGGGCCACATCTAACACCTTCAACAAAATCCTCATCAATGTCAAATATCACGTCTGCAAGTTTAGCAAATTTAGCCAAAGGTGTAGAACATTTATCGAATCAAATGCAACAGAACATGATGCAAGGGGGACCGTTTCATAGTATTCAGATGCAGGGACAACAAGGAGGTGCGAATCCTAATTCACAAAATAGTGCTTCAGTGACAAGTAGTGTTGAAACAAGTTCTCAAAATCCGAGTGCTCCTAGTGTAAACAATACGTTTGTAAATGCAACCATGTCAATTCAACAGTTAAATATTCAAAGTGTAAATAATCCACATGGGCATGGATATAATCCAACAATGTCTGTCCAACAAATGAACATGGAACAACAACAACACTCTCAAATGACCGCTATGAGTAACAGTGGTGTACATGTTCCTCAGGGTATGCCAAGTTCACAAGGTCAAGGTATGCCTTGTTCAATGCCTCAGGGTATGCCTATGTCATCAACTGGTCCAACGTCATCATCAGGGGCAATGTCACAACAAACACCCATTGCTATGGGACACCCAGGAATGAGAAATAACCCTCAACAAATGGGCCATGGTCCAGCCCATACTAGCTCAAGTGCTCCACCAAATATGATGACTCAAGGAGGAAGAATGAGTCCAAATTTTTCTGCTAGCTCAATGGGAAATGCAAATGTTCAAATTCAGGCTAAAGCACCTAATACTATACAATACTTACCAGCCCATCCTCCAACAAACCAACCTGGACCACAAGTGTCGACTAAAAGACCTGACATTGAATTCATGCAACGATTTGCTTCTCCAATGGGAAATATAGAAAATAAAGTGCCGACTTCAAAAATGCAATATTTTCCACAAGCAAATCAAGCCCAATCTGGAATGGAAAATTTTGGTCCAGGAATGCAACCAAGTGGTCGATGTTCACCTTTCGCTGGCCCGGGTGTGCCAATGAACTCTGGAATTGGTCCACATCCAATGCAAAGAGGTGGAAACATGCCTCAGGAAATGCACCCAAATATGCCGGGAAATGGTGGAATGAATATGATGAATACAGAAATGCATAACCAAGAGGCTATGATGATGTCAAACCAAATGGCATCCATGCAAGGAGGTATGCCTCCAGGAGGTATGATGTCCGAACAAATGATGGCTAGGACTTATGGACAAATGAGTGCACAGGGAGCGATGATGAGTTCTAACAATGGAAATATGATGAGAATGGAAGGAATGGCAACTATGGCTCATCAGAACTCTCCGCCATTCCCGGGAGGTCGTGAAAATATGATGGAAATGATGCATGGTGGTCCAATGCCAGGAAGGAATTTTGGACCAGGCATGGAAAGGATGTCTGGTCAAGGTCATGGACCTCCTATGAATCCTATGGGAAATTATGGACCTATGTCTAGGCAAGGTGGCATGAGAATGTCAGGACCTGGAAACCCAAATATGCCAAATATGTTACCAAATGGACCTGGTCATAATCCAGGGTACAATGCTCAGTATGAGCAATTTCAGCAACAATTGTATTCTCAAGGAAGATCAAGACAAATGTCTCCAATGGGAGGTGCAATGATGCCTGGTCCAGGACAGCCACAGTATATGAACATGATGCCAAATATGCCATGATCAAATGTATTGTTTATGAATGCTTTACAATTTGTTTAATTTTCTGTCACTTTAAGCATGACAATATAAATATGCTTCCAGATTGCTTTAAGCTCAGTGCTAACCAAAAGAATTATTAACTGAGAAATTTCCCTTTTATATTTAAAATGTTTTTCCATTTTCACATTTGAAATAGACAGCTGTTTCAATACATAATCAGAAATTTTTCTGTAATTTTGTTATTTAAATGATCATTAGTAAGATCTTAATTGATGGAAAAGTTTTATTATTCTTTTTTGGGAACCATTTTATAATTTGTTGAAAACAAATGCAAAAACTTTTGATGAATTTATAACTTTAAATGAATAAACGTAAATTTGGTGGAAGCAGTTATCGTGAAAGATATGCCAAAGCAAACACTTAAGGTGCAGGTCTGGTCATAACAGTATTTTCTTCAGCTGGAAGCATAATTTGTATTTTATAAACAATTAGATTTTATGATATTACCACAAAACCTGAAATTTTGATTATCAACTCTTTCATTATTTTTTCAATCTTTGACTGGCAGCTTTTATAGTATTTTAAAACCATGTAACTGTATTTGTTTAAAACGACAAAACAGTCTTTTTTACAAGTAGTTATTTTTGCATCTTATATCATCAGAACTCCAAAAGTAAAACATCTTTAACATATCATCAACACATATGTGATTTGTAATACCTTTAATGCTCGAATCATGTGACTTTAAACTGTTTGAATATTTATGAAGTTGATAATCAAAACCTTTAGAGCACTGTATAGTACTTTCTTATTTTTAAGAATTTTTATTATTTTCTTTCAGTTATTTATAAAAATCAACATGTGACAGTGAGATTTTTCTTTGCTATTCATATTTCCTCAGCAAAACCCTATTTATGTAAAAATAATAATTCATTATTTATATTTATAAATTCCATTGAACATCATTTTCTTGAACACCTAAAGGACAACCAAATAAGTTTCAGTGAAAGATATCTTCTAGTTGTTGATGATTCCGCAGTATGTTGCAAAAATTCATTATATTTTAGTTTCTTTCCTTTCTCTGTTATGATATAGTATTTTTGTAGAGCAGTAAGCCCTGCCCCCTTTTCTGCCTTTTTGCTTCTCATGCACCAGCATTTGACTCTTGTTTTAGAAAAATACAGTGAAATCCAATAATCAATTATTTCTTGTTTCTTTATCATTGATAACTAAACTAATAAAAATTTTGGTGGAAATTTTAAAAAGTTGTAATTTTAAATTTTGCTATATGAGTAAAGATAAAGATTTTATTTTGTATGCATAAGCAAGGCTCAGTATTAACAAAATGTGCTTTTTATACCCTGTACAAAATTGTAAGGGACCTTATAGTAATGCACTAAATCTGTATCATACTAAATAAAAGAGATAAATAATTGATATGCCACATTGGGTATCCCAGTAAAAGAATTTCATGAAACTAACTAAAGGCATTCAAGTGTAAAATGTAGGTCATAGTGACTCAACAGTTTCAAATGAGAGGCCTAAAGTGATTAAATGTTATTGTTTCATACTGGGAAAGATATTAACCCACAGCAAGGGTGTCCAGGTGTCCAAGGGTAAAATGTGAGTTGAATGTAGTAATGTAAAACATGATAGTTGAAAAAAATCACATACCACATGGAGTTTCCCAAAGAATGAGATTTAATCCTAAACTTAATTAAAATGTTAAGACAAAACTACACTTATGATCTACATTTTATGCTTGAGTAATTTTGGTTGATATCTCTATTCCTTTTTCGATATAGCCTTGATATTTCACCTCTACAATATTCTTAAACAACAAAATTTTTGTTTACACATACCTTTGTTTCACAATTACCTATCTGAGTTTGGTTAGTTTTACATATGTGACCTGCAGTATTATTGGTTTAAGGTCAGAACATCCACATTTTATGGAATCATTTTTAGTTAATTCTTATAACTTTTTGGCAGAATTGACTTCTGCTCCATTTAAAATGTTTTTTCTTTATGTATGTACCTTGAAAGTCACCTTTAACAGTTTTGATAGACGGTATATTTTTTGGAGATGACAATATGTTCCAAGTAATCCCACAAAACTTAGATTTTTCTTGTATATTTTTTTTAATCATTAATACAAGAGAAATTCTGCAGTAAGACATTACTATTGCTAAGTATCATGAAAGTGAGAATTACTCAATTGGTATTATTAGTAAAGATGTCAACTGAAAGGTCAAATGTTTATATGGCTACCAAATACTTACTTTGCTGTGACTAAATATTATTATTTAACTACAAAACCAGGTGATGACACAAACTTTTGTACTTTTTCTTTATTCAATGGATTGTAAATCTTTTTGTAATTTAATCTTATATACCAAATGGATGTATCTCACCAAGACAGGTTTTATATTTGATTTCATATTACAGAGATGCTTCTATTCTGCTCTTAAGCGCATTTCTGCTATAGAAAATATGGATTTGTTCATTATGATCTCCTTAATATATTAAATAATTGGCTTTGGTTTTGAGCCATATCCAATTATATTCTTGATATGCAAAATTACCTCTGATAAAAGAACAATGACTAAGATTCAGTTAAATAACATTTAGTTTAAATGATTTCAAAATGATATTTAAATTCGGTGATTTATCTTCTTTTTATTTTTTAATTATTACAGTCTTGTACAGTAAACGAAAAATGTAATCCAAATCATGTTGAAGCTTTCACATTCAAGTACTGTATATCCAGTCAGAAATCTATTTGAACAAATGGAATTTTTAAGGTTTAATTTCTTGACCTAGATTGACATGTTTTAAATGTTGTGGTATATCTTCATTGCATTGCATTATGGTAATCACTTTCCTTGTTAGGCGATATTAGACCATTGAGCTCGCGGTCAGGTTGCTTTAATCATGAGAATGTTTTATTTACTAAGTGCCTGGGCGCATGAAATATAATATTTATTGTAATTGACAAATTTCACGTTATTGAAATTAATTTTTTGGTAGTAAAGTTATTATGACCTTTTGTACAAAGTATATATTACATTTTTTACCTTCATTTTTCTATACCATTTTATCATCTGTTTATAGTACATTTGTAGATTACTTTTCTCATCAAGGTTGTACAGTATTTTGTAACTTAAAATGAAATTCATTAATGATTTTACAGTTAAAACCAAGCATTGAAATATAAGAACAAATTGTAAATAATTTAATTTTTTGTATATTATTTGTGGTTATTTAGAATATTAGGTTGTAGTCTTTAGTCTTAAAGAACGAAAAAAAAACCTGTTCATTTAAAACTTACAGAAATTGTTGGAAAGTCTATTTTTGATATATTTTATATAATATGTGACTGCTGACAGATTTAATGAAAGATGAGATGAAATGGTCTTGTAGTCTCAAGTGTTATATATATGATTTAAAACAATTAAAGTAATTATTTGGTTTATTTTTCTTACCTTTCAAGATAGATTGTAAATTATGCAAAATTGACACAAATGATATTTCTGAATTTTGTATGCATGAATTGAATTAAAGGGTAAAATTTTCATATGCTAGCTTTAAAGCTCTTGAATGATATTTGTAATGGCTGTGAAGTTACAAAGTTAAAAACTAGGATATAAATCAGAAATTATTTCCTGTAGCACTAAAAACAATATGTGACTGCAAAAAAATTAATTTGGTAAAGCCTTTTGGCCACAATTGTAAAATTAGCTAAGTAAAGAACAAAAGATTTGTGGGAGGCAAAGAACAGCTTATATTTGGATTTGTTTATAAATAGTGAGTTAACATCCTTTCAAAGAGAAAAATAAAATAACTCTTTTTGTTTTAGGTAGTTAAACAAAACAATGAAAAAACTACCTGTATTGGTAAAATTGAAGCTGTTGAAAATCAAATACTATTTAACTTTTACTGGAAATTTTAATGGAATTTGTATCCTAATAGGAATGATATGATTTATTTAAATAGTATTATCAAGTAATATAATTGTTACAATAAAAAATCACCAAATTTTGTCTTCATTATTATCTCTATTTTGTCAAGACTCAAAATTGGTTATTTACTTTTTTCATAGATTCTTGGAAGTCCTTTTTAGCTGTCTGCATGGCAATTTTTTTTTTTTTTTTTTTGCAAAATGTATTCCTTTTTACAAGTTTGAAACAAATTTATATTCACTTTTATTTTTCAAGTTGCATAAATAAATGGGTAAAAAAGTGTGTTAATTTACAGTATAAATCCTGAATTTGAGTTAAGAATTAATGTTGACTTCATGTTACTATTTCATGTGTTACAATTTGACTTCAGTGTACTTTCTATAGATTACAAGACCATTTGAAAGGTGTCAGATTTACTGTCTGTGAGTTGTTACTATAGAGACTGTTGGCTATAAATAGAACAAACCATCTGAGACATCTTTATGTTTAATAAATTACATGATACTACATATTTTGTTTAGCCTTCATTCATTCTGCATATTATATAATACACAAAAAGAATAACAGAAATCCCCAAAAACATTTGGATAAAACAACAGACCAAGTCAACCACCAACATTCAACAACCGTTATGATTTCAAAGTTTATACTTTACATGTATATTTACCAACAACAGAGGGTGTGTCATAATGTATGTACAACTTCCTAGGTCAAAGGTCAAGGTCAAAAACTTTGGTTTTAGTTGACAACCCCATGTCCTATGGTAAAGATCGTGTCCGCTCATTATCTTGAGAACCGTTATGATTTCAAAGTTTATACTTGACATGTATATAAACTAACACCAGAGGGTGTGTCATAATTTATGCACAATTTCCTAGGTCAAAGGTCAAGGTCAAAAACTATGGTATAGTTGACAACCCCATGTCCTATGGTAAAGATACCAATTTTTTACCACACGTTATTCACAGCGGGGCCCACAGAGATGGCTCCCATCTCAATGATATCTAGTTAAGGTTATTGGTTTGTTTTAATAGTATACTTAAGTCTTGTGACCATTGAAATTGTAACACATTGCTTAGTCCCCTATAGCAGTGTTCTTCCCAGAAATTTTTAAGGCTCAAAAATTTGTAGTGTGTTACAATTTTTTTTCAGTGAACTATTGTAACTTTAACAATCACACAAAACTCTAAATGCAATATTAACTCATATGATGCTTATATAACATGTGTTTAATTGCTCTTTTATAATAAATAGAATATAAATTAAAAACAATTTTACACACATATATTTTTCATCACAGTCCATTTATTTAGTCAAAATTCAGTGTTCTACTCAGCCTTCCAGTTTAAGCAGCTTCAGACATGTTGATTACTGTGCACTCTGGTACAGCTAAGGATTACAAGAGGTGGGGTCTGAAAGGGGCTCATATAATGGAGAATAGAGGACCTAAGAAATTATTAAAAAGGGGAAAAATAGCCCATAAAATTCAGAGAAAAATGGAGTGTAAAAATATATAGAATAGTGAATAATGGACCAAAAAAATAAAAAATAAGAGAGATTTTAAGAATACAAAAATGAAGCATCCCCCCTCCCCTTTTCCCGAATTTCATACAGTTACCAACTTTTACAAACAAATTTCATTTAATAAAGAATTCTATGATGAGATCAACAAAGAATATATAGAACTAAATAACACGTATAAAGAAACCAGTGAAACAGACCAACACAGAGATGGCTTTGATAGAGAAATCAGCAAAGAAGAGGTGGAAGCCGCTATATACCGCCTCCGTATAGGGACTGAACCAGGCCCAAATCAGCAGTTTGCTGAATTTTTCAAGCATGCAGGCGATAATTTTAAAGAAGCTATAATGGCAATGATGATCATCATATGGCAGAAAGGTGAAATACCAATATAATGGAAAGTGGCAGATGTAAAGTTCCTAAGAAAACGTGGGAAAGCCAGCTATTTCTCTTCCTCTTCCAATCAGTCTAACATGCATAACATGACTTAACTACTGTAAAGGGTCATTTTAGAACGTATTGTGGCATATATTGAGGGTCACAGATTGATTGATTTAACCCAAAAAGGGTTCAGAAAAAATTACTCAAACAACAAATGCTCTACTTCGATTAGTCCAAACAATAGCTGACGGTTTCAATGAAGACGAATCAATTCTGGCATTGCTAGTGGACCTAAAAAAGGCATACGACTCAATATGGCGTGAGAGATTAATGATCAAGCTCGGTATAAAGAATAAAAAACTGGTTATGGATAAACAGCTTCCTTTCAAATAGAACAGCCAGGCCTTGCGGTCATAAAAATTTCGAGTACGTTTATCGTACTCAGACTCAGAATTCAACCAACCAAATACTGGATTAGATGTTTCGAGCACAAATTATGTACTCCGAGTACTGAGTAAAGTGTTATGACCGAGTGTCCTAATGTATGCTAAATAATTTCTTGGGAGAACAGTTTGATACTAAAATCGGCTTGCCACAAGGGTCAGTAATATCACCCACCTTAATTAACATTTTCATTGCTGATATAATGGATAACACCAAAGGAGAAAACTGCAGATTATGGCACGTTATGGCACAAGGGAAAAGACATAAACAAGATGAAAGAAAAAACTGCAGAGGATGTCAAAACAATATTGAAGTGGACAGAAAAATTGAGAATTAATGTAAACCTGCAAAAATGTGAAGTTTGTCTAATTTTAAAAGACAACACAGATGCAGAGCAGAAAACATTAATCGTCAATTTCTTCAAATTTAGATATAGTCCTACACCCATGCTACTCGGTTGAACTCTAGATGAGAAGCTAAAATTTGACACACACATCAGCCTAATGCAAAAACGAGCAAATATTGCAATATACGTAATAAGAGATATAAATATCAAGAACAGAACTACTCCAAATATACAACCGCATGGTAAGATCTATTATGGAATATGCATGTCCAGTCTGTCAATTAACATCTGCAGACAATATGAATAAAATCAAAGCTGTAGAAAGAATAGGCTTGTCACTATGCCTTGGACTACCTGGAACATCAGGTAGAGAGGCAATGGAAGTCAAAGCCAATATTCAATCCATCGACCTTAGAATAGAAGACATATCAGTACGTGAATTGGCAAAAATTCAATCTAAGAACATAGCAGAACCAATTAAGCAACAACTGGAACAGTATCTTACCAACAATGATACCTATGAACAACAAGAGTCTCCATTTGGTAAAACTATAAACCAATCCATAGACATGTTCAAAGCTACAAAGGTTGACATCAAACTTATAGAACCAGAGTTCACATACAAAGCTGGCGCAGATTTTATGCTGATGATAGCACCGAGCTACTGGAGTCGACTTGGAATTTCAAAGAGCAGAACAGCTGAGCAAACTGTTGAAAGTAAACATGTTGTAAAGGACCTACTAGGAGACAGCTCAAACTCAACAGTAGTGGCATTCACTGACGGCTCTTGTCAAGGTAACCCAGGACCATGTGGAGCGGGGGCGGTAGTATATTCTGGAAATAGCCAAGGTGTTAGCTTAAAGAGGCCAGTAGCTAGCAGAGGATCAATATTATTTGCCAAACTTGTAATTATCCTAATGGTTCTGGAGCACTGCATAACAACAATTAAGTACCAGTTCTCTAAGGTCAAAATACTATCAGATAGCTAGGCTGCTGTATGCATCTTGACTCTAAATTGGAAATCGTCAAACTACATTGATACAATAATATTAGAGAAAGCATAGGGACACTCTTGAGACACGGCATACTAACAACCATATCTTGGATCCCAGGCCATACTAATATAGCCGAGAACGAGATAGCGGACCAGTTGGCGAAAGATGCTTGCAAAGGAGGCCTCATCTCTAAATGACAAATTTAATGTCATAACAATATCAGATGTAAGAAGTGCAGTCAAGATGTCTACAAAGTTGAAATGGCAAAGTAGAAGGACAATTAGTGAAACTGTGAGACAACTTTTCAATCTAGTACCTATTGTTGGTAGGGATGTAGAACTGGACACACCATACCCCCAAATAAGAAGAATTTTGTCAGAACTGAGAACAGGTTACAGCAGATTTAATAAATACAAAAAACCAAATAGGTCATTCCCTCACGCCATATTGTGAATGCGGCGAAGAAGAAACAACAGAACATTTCTTACTATACTGCACAAGACACAATCATGAAAGAGGAGACATGCTAAGACAGATGGAAATGCTGAACATCCCGAAAGACATACAATTATTCTTGTCATCACCTAAGAGAGAAACCTACAAAGAAGCAGCTCAAATTGTATGGGAATCTATAGCAAGATCAGAGCGATTTCAAGATCTAGCAAGCCCTGAATCCCGGTCGTGCGCCTAAACAAATAATCGAAAGTACCGCGAGTAATTACCGTGTGCAACGGTGTACCATAAGAGGAAAAAGCAAACAGTACAGAGAGACAAGTTGTGTCAACTTTGACCTTATGATCAGGATCAGGTAGGTATTTACTCTTGTATATTTGTTATTTTGTAGCACATGATAATTCGAGCTTCTTCTCGTCTTGTTTGTAAGCTTTTCCATCCTAATTCATTTGTCATATTGCTGATACTTGATCTATTTCTATGTCTGCAGGTTACATATCGTGCAGCTCGTGTTTGAACTTTTTCAGTTTTATCTATGTGGTTTTGCTGTTACGGGTCCCATACTGTCGTGGCGTATTCCATTTGTGGTCTTACTTATATTTTATAGGCATGTTCTTTGATGGATTTTGAGCTGATGTGGAGATTTCTATGTAAGAAACCAAGACATCGGCTGGCTTTTCCTGTGATGTTTTCCTATAAAGTTGCATTACTATCAGTACATCTCAGCTTGACGAACTGCCCTCTGTCATGGTCCAGCAACTTTTTTTTCTGACTTTTCTGCCAACTGGAGAGACATATCTCTGTGTCAACAGTTTATTTTTTCAAAGCACGACAATTGAGACTTTTTTAAAACACGTCAATTGAGACGAATTTTATTTGCGAAGTAACACATTTCACATTCTGACCCAATCTTTTGCTTCACATTTACTTACTAATAAATTCGAGTAAATTACGTTTTTTGACGTTCAAAGACTCCAATTTATAACTATACCAAAGTTACCATATGTATTTTTCATGGTGTTCATTGGTCGTGTAAAAATAGATTCTCAATATTTTCCAATTCGCCGTTTCAGAATCTAATGCATTCTGGGTAATATTTTCAATAGCGTACACCAAAACGCTGTGATTGGCTAACAACGTCCCAAACAACTAAATTCAACCAATGACGTGACGTAATTTTCATTTTGGGGTTCAAACAATGAAATTACCCAGAATGCATTAGATTCTGGTACGGCGAATTAGAAATTCTTTAATTTTTTAATCATGTATAATCCGAATTGACGGATATGGTTAGGAAACGGAGAGGTGTCAAATTACGTACTCGCTGTTATTGACGACAACATACGGATCTACATTACTGATTAGAATT